CCCAACCGAACTGTCGGTCTGAATCTTTGAGGCTTGAATAATTTTACCCAACATCTTTGGGCAAAAATAGCATTCTAATTTTCAAAAGTGCTCACAAAACAAATAAGTGCAAAAAGTACCTTTTTATCAGTTTTTCATAAGCTTAAGAAACTCATTCACGTTTTAGATGATTGACACCTATTTAAGATTTCTATTTTTAAACTCAAGCTGATTTGTTAGTATTTGCCTTAAAAAAAACTGCTTTTAGTCTGAAACAAGGGTCCATTAGAGTGCTCATTTTTGACATTTTTCAACTCAAGTCCATTTGATTCAAGTTCATATTCGATTCAAGCCATAACTCGTGTGGGAGCTAAAGAAAAAGATACGCAGAAAGTTTTTACGCGAATCAAATGAGGAATGCTTCAATCATTCCATGCCCTAAAATGATTTTTGTATCGCTCATTTCTAGATGGTGAGATAGTTCCATTTTGCATCTGAAAAATGTAAAAGTAAAAGCTATTTTTACTTATACTTCAAATAACCCAGAAAAAATACCGGAAATTTTTAGTCTACGCTCGCATCTTAATTATTTCGCATCTAGAAACAGACCAGACCGATTAATAATCGATTAAACGTTCGTTTTTATACATGAATTGACAGATTCATGCAGTATTGATTGACGGGTCTTTGAATGTAAAATTTCAATTAAGCATGAGTGCTATTTTGGTGATTTATTGGTATTTCAATAATATTGCAGGCACTTTTTCCATCTAATAGCATTTGATTTGTCTATCGAAATTATGCCACCATGATCCGTGCTCGTTGCTTTAGAGTGAGTCAAAATTACCCAGCCGAGAAAAAAAAACAAAAAAAAAGCACGCAGTTCTTAAAAAATGCGGGCACAACAGCGGCTCTCTGTGATGAGCTGAGCAGCTCGTATGTTGGTCCTTTCCGTTGTGGATAAACAGTCTTAATTATACATTAAATCAAACTATGTTTTGGAGGAAATAAGTTAATATTTCATTCTCTGGCTCAGATGTTTTATAAGGAAATTCAGTCTGATGAAAGATAGAAATTCAGACTGAATCATTGGTAGAAATTTCAACATCAGAACTATAAAGACGGGACTGAAAATTAGAGGCAGCCTTTGATAGGTTGCTTACAGAAAAAAATTGATTTGGAAGATTTCAAATAGAATTTTACTTGTCCAATATTCAAATTCTCTAGAATATATTTTTGTTCAATGCAATCAAAGAAAAATATTTCTATGGGTCGAAAAAATATTGTTTTTTTTAAAAGAGGCTCTGATATAAAAAACATTACCGAGCTGAGCTTAGTATATCTATTTTGATTTTTTAAAGGCATCAAAAAAGTTAATTTCAAACACCCGCGCTTCTTCATAACGCGATATAGAATTTATCATTGTAGAACTTCTGTTATCGTTAATATACACTCAGTTCAAAATTTTTTTATTTTATTCGAAAGAGTCTTTACATAAATTATCTCCAGTGACATCTGAAATGTTTGAAACGTATGTTAGCATTGCCTTAGTTTTCTTCTGTGCTGCTGCTGTCAAAAACGGTGAGTTTTTTCAGGCACTTTTTCTAGATTCATATGCTGAGTATCGAACTAATATTACAAAGTAATAAATGTAGAGGGTGTTCTAAGAATTTTTAGAGATGAGTTCTAGAGGCCGATTTTCAAAAAAAGTAAATTTTGTCAACTATTTTTGCAGGTCGACCAAAATGACTCTCTGTGCTGTACAAAGACTATAAACAGCATGCGATATTTATATCAGCGGGGCCGACAAAAATGCCATTTTATTGTAAATTTTAGAAGGTTTTGACCAAATAAAAACGCCTTTTTGATGGGAGGAAATTTTGTATTATTTTGGCGACGAAAAAAAACTTGAAAGTTATTTGCCCAAAAAAATATGTCCTTTAGAATTAATAATCCGATGGAAATGTGAAAAAAATCAACAATAAGCGATTTTTAGTGATCTTTTATGTAATCAATATAAACGAATCTCATGTTGCCTTCATGTAACAAAATTGTATTAATAATCAATTAGAAACCATAGTTTTATTCAATTTATTATTTAATCAAAATCCATTTAAATCAATAGAAATGGATTTTTCAACTTTAATTTTGTTTCGCTTCGTTCAAATGTTGCAAGAACTGCGGCACTTATCAAATGAGCAGTAGCGTGCGCTAAAATTTTTCAAGTAGGGTGGTTTCAAAAAATATTGAAAATTTTGTGGACATTTTTTTAGGTCGACCAATTGATTATCCGAGCTCTCAAACATAAAACAAAGACCGTATTTTGTAACATTTGTTTTGCACTGCAGGGAAATTAGAAAAAAAACATCAGGCTAAAAAGGACGTTTCGGACTTTAAAAAAAAATTGACCAAAAGTTTTTTTTGGCCCACACTCCCTCCTCAAATTTAGCTAAAATGGCGCCGAAGGCGCTCGTAGGAAATTTTGAGGTCGGCCTGCCAAAACGAATCTCGTAAAACTATACCAAAGGGTTGACCCATTGGAAAGAATTGAGTGGTTGGCGGCACGCTACTGCAAATGTGTTATGCAAAATATTTTCGAAGCGACTGAACTCGATTTCTAAATTTAAACTTACTCAATGTTTGCCTCTTTGCACCCACCAAAAATGGCCTTTTGCCGTTCTCCCTCAATGTTTGACTCATTGTCCCTCACCCCCAGCAACGTTTGCCACTTTGCCCCCTCACCAGCGTTTGGACCTTTTCCACTTCCCACATGCAACTTTTGTGCCTTTGCCCCTTACCCCCTGTCAGCGTTTTCCACATTGCATTTACCCCTTTGTTAACTATATTTTAAGTAAAACGTGAAAACGACTTTATGTGCGTTGAATTTCGCATCTCAAAGAGATGAAAAAAAAAATCGGTTGTAATGGAGTTTGATTGTCTTCATGTATAAAAATGAAACATAATCTATTATAGTTTTGTTGCAAAAGATTTTAATGTTTTATTAGTTAATTGTAATATATATTCCATTTCTAATTGATTATATATAATTTTTCTCCATTTTTATAGACACTGATAATAAAATTCAATTTTAATCGCATTTTTTACATGGAACTCCACTGCGGGAACGCGGGACTTTATACCCAAAAATCGGACAAAATTACACATAACTTAACTGCTAATAGGAATCCTGTGCACGGATTGAAAAAGTAGCTTTTCCAAAAAGTTAGCTGGGAAAGCTGTTTTGTTGACTTATTTCGATCCACAGCTCTCAAATATTCGTAAGCTATTCGTTGGACCCTTTTGACATCAAATTTGACTCTATTAATTTAATATCATTGTTTTGTTGGCGAGGATTTTTCCACAGAAAGAACGCCTCTGAAAGTAGTTATTATGTCTTGGCTAAGTTGTTCCTTCGAATAAAGATTCTCAAATTTTAGTTGGCTAAGTTGCTTCTAATTATTTACTTCTAGCATTTGTCATTATTTGAACCCTATATTATTGATGGTCTCAGAAACAACGATCAAAGCATGAAGAAAAATATCATCTGTTATCATTTTTCTTTGAATTTTTGAACCAAGCAGTTTCGAAAATGCAGTTTTGGCCGATTAGGAACACTTAACTTTCTCTTGTGTTACTAAGTCAAAAACGGCGATTCAATCATTCTTAGAAATTGCAAAATGAATGGAGGCACAACTATATTAATACGGTCAAACGCTTAACAGATTACATTAAACTTAATATAGCGCATGGGGCTTTTGAAAAAGTCTGAGTTTTTTTGTAAGTTTTCTTTAATTTTTTTTTCAACTTTAAATAACCATGAAAATCATCTCATAGACAATAAAAAGCAGTCGGAGCACCCGGGGTTGGCGATATAATTATCATTTGATCAGTTTTTTTTCAGTTAGCGAACGGTTTTGTGCTTCTGCAGTTTCGTTGCAATTCGGACTCCGCTCCAGAGTTGCACTTGCTGGTTAGTCACTTGAAAATTTGTAATAATATCATTTTTGTTGCCTCAAGTATACAAAAAATGGGGAGGAATTTTGTTTTTATAGTTTTTTCTAAATTTGTTTCTTCTGTTTTCCACACGAAATTAGGGACCACAGAAAGTCATCGGAATGGGTCGAGTGATAACCTATTAAAACCTTTTCAGTCGCTATTTGAACGACATTTAAGAATTCCGAAAAAAAAATTCGCCGTGGCGAGAAAAAACGATTTAAAAATGCTTATTTTTCTGTTTTCAACTGTTTCCAAATTTACCTATTTTACTATGACTAAAATTCCTACCTATGTTCTATTTTTTCGTTCAGATCTTTTTATCACACCACGAAGATAAAACAACTCTATTAAAAAAAAACTTTTTTTGTCGTTTTTATGTCAGAAATTCTGAGCTACTTTCACAGTAACGGGCTATACTTGTTTATAATCGTAATCGATTTAAAGATATTGTTCCGAGTCCAGGTCCGGCACATATATTCAGATCATCGCGACAAAACCTTGCCGCGTTTTGTTTTTTGCGACCAAATTTTGGCTTTACCAGACTTTTGTGATTAGATTTTGGGTTTAGCAGAGGTTTTCGAGACCAACAATTAGCATTCCCCAGAGTCTCATGCGGCAAAACCAACGTAGAAGGGGAACCACCTTTTCCAGTGAAAGAGTCTTTGTGCTGGTGTCGGCACCGCCTCTCTGCATAGTGCACTGGCAAAGATGGAGGTTTGTTGGTTCTCGACATAAGATCAGTGTAGTATGAATGGAATTTGGGCTCCTCACAGTGCGTGGTCCAGCCTCATAGAGGCATCCATTCTTTGTAGATATCGGTCGCGACCAGGGTTTAGAAGACGCGACCCAGGACAGGCACGAACCTTATTTCAACACTGCGACCAATAGTTCTGTTCAGACTTTCGCAACGAGTAAAAATATAGGAAGTCAGAAGCGTTGGACATACAGTCGCAATAGTTTGGAAAGCTTTTAAAACCGTTTACATGTTTTCTCTTGTTTCACATAAAAGGAAACTTTAATGTTGTTGTTTTAAATTTTTGTAAGTTAGGACATTTTCCAGGTGAACGTTATTCTTGACCTGTTGTGTAATATTATTTGAATAATTGTGTCCAAACTTTCAAGCTCGCGCCAATGCTGCAGGGCTGCGACTTAGGATCCAAAATTTTCGCAACTGCAAGCCCAGTCTTCGCTATTTTAAGATTTAAGGATATTTAAATTCGGAAATCGATGACCAAGTTTTGGTATGTCCAGGCTTATGCGAACCACAAGAGACTTTTATAACAGATTTTCTAGACTTTTTTGAACCTGAACCCGGATGCTTCGCATCTTTTTAAACTGGAATTAAGTCTGGGATTCTTTTTGAGTGTTTTTCAAATATAAACTGGCGCATAATAGTTTATTATATAAATCTTCAGCATTGCTAGCAGAGGTTTGGACACGGATATTATTCACAAATAAGAGAGAGGTGGTGCAAAAGACCTTCCCACTGCCATACTAAAAACAGGACGGGTTAATGACACAAAAACAAGTCCAGAAATACTAAAAGATTCCATGAATCCTGTAATAAGTCGTATCATAACATACGAAAAAGCTCACAGAATAATGTTCTTAAAAAATTTGTCAACTTTTTCTCGGTTCAGAATCAGATTCATTAAGTTTTCTTCATAAGACAAGAAAACTTTTTTCGGTTCCTCGCCGAGTTTTCCAACACGTTTAAAATGCACGATTGGATTGTCTGTTAATTTTAAAATCACTCTACAACAATCGTACTGCAAAACGAAAAAATTTGTGAGCCGCAGTTATAATTTATTTTTTCGTAGAATTTTGGTGTATAATTTATTTTTTTTTAAACATTTTTTTGCTGATCATTAAACCATCTTTTCCTATAAAAGTGACCAAAATTGAAGTATTCAACAATTACTTTGATTAGAATCTGCTTTTTACGTAAATATGTCTCCAATGTCGAGACAGAACATTCATTTTACTTTGACTTGCGGCTACTTTTACCCTCGGGTGAAATAAATCCATTGCCTTGAAATTAATATAGTCGAGAATTCCACCTGATTTTTAAATTTATAGTCACTGCTAATTTATTAGCATCTATTTTTGGTAAAAGTTTGAGTGATATACCGACCTACAGTTCTGAATCACACGCTAGCATGCCTATATATCTACACATCTAAATCATAAAAAACAATTCCGCATAAGGAAACATATCTTACATAATGAAATGGATTCATTGCAAAAATAATGGAAGTTTTTTTTATTCAAATGAACTTTAAATTGAGCTTGAAATTTTGGACAGTGTAGCGTATAACCCTTGCCCTTTAAGCTATCACTAAAATAGAAGAAATTTGCCCCAATTGTAGCGCATATTTGATTTGAGCCTGCAAACAGGGTAACTGTAAAATTGGCAAAAACCTACAAACCTGCGTGAAGTAGCTACAAAAAATGCTCTTAAGCTGATCTCATAAGCGGGTTACCAGCAGAACGTGCCAAATTTTGTGTTTTAACCAAAATCTGTTGCTTTTGAGCAAGCTACCAGTGAGCTAGCGAGAAAAAAATGGGTATAGGACAATATAGAT